CCTGATTTTATTTTATATGCAGGTCTTCTTTCTCAAATAATGGGTGCAGTGGAGCTCTTTTTATGAAGTGATAGAAAAAGAACTTTTTCTTCTGTAGTTACAATAACAAAAAATACATTGACTGACAGAAGGAAGGGAAAGTTATGAAAGTACCGAGAAATATGCTGCTTAATGTCTAGACTCATCCTTCAAATCTCAAATGTTACCAGCCCAACTCTTTCCACCTTCCAAGCAGAGTGAAAGGGGAGTTTTGTTACAACCCATCCAACAGTGAATCAGGAGGTCCTCTTAGAGTATGTTTCTTCCAAAGAGACCACTCATAAGGGGAAAAGAGGAAGAACTGAGGCAGTGGTGATGTGTGTGTACATGCATGAGAATGCAGAGAAATCCTTAAATAATTAAGGAAGGAGAATGCTCACCACTGTAAAGGGTAACACATCCCTGACCAGTTTTAAATATGAGCCCCAGATGCTGGCAATGCCAGATAAAAGGTGATATCTATACATTCATGGCTCCGTCGGGAACCCCCGTGGTAACAGAAATAAATTGAAGACATAACTCCTGTTCCCTGGGGAATCACAGTGTTTCCCATGGTGTCTTCAGGCTTTACTTGAGGTTTTCATACGAGGCTACTTTTTATCTCCCTGGCAGAAGCTAACTAGGCCATGATTTCTTTCTCTCTGAGCAGACAAACAAGGAGGTAATAAATATGAGTTTTAGCTGTATAATGATGATTAGTAGCTGATACTACTAATGATGCTTAGATTCTGATGTCTAAAATGAGGATAATATCTGTCCCACTGCCCGCCTCAGTGTTATAAGGTTTTAAAAGATCATACTAAACTCTGTATATGTGACTTAGAAAAGAATGGCATTACAATTATACGACATTCTTGGTTTCACTCAAAGGACACACTGATGGAAAGAAAAGGTGTCAGGACCCTCTCCCGAGACGGCAGCACAGTGACCGAATGACCCTCCCAAGCTGTAAAGATGTAAATAAACACCGTTACAAGCCAAGAGCTCAGTACCTGGAGACTGAGCAATTGGCAGACACCAGAGTGAAATGGGTTCAGGTAATGCAATACAGCCCCCTGGTACCCCGTCACTGCCTGCAGAACACAGGTCCCTGAAACTACATGAAACAGACAAGCCACACTTCCCATAGCAACTGCTGGAGGGAGACCTGTGGCTTTAATAACAGTGAGCACTGTAGCAACTGCAGTTGAAATCTTCTCTCATGCCCCACTCTGTGTTGACTGACTCCTGGTTTTAGTTTTGAAAGTTATAGTCCTGGATGAAACTGCAAGAGCACCTTTTAAAATTCATGAACACTTTGTATTCATAGCTCAGATATCAAACTTTCCCACTAAATTAACTGCCTGGAGTAAGTTTCAAAATCAAAGCGTTTTCTAACATCCATGCAGATGTGTAGCTTTCTACTAGAAACATTAATCTTACGAATGCAAGTACTCTATGAAAACTGCAGGATTCATGTTTATCACACCCCAATGTCTGCAGTGGTTTCGGAATCACTAAAATGCTGACCTTCCACGGAGGGAATCCCCAGGAGGGCAAAGCCAGGATTTCTAGAAGGTCTTAACAAAGGAGTTTGAAAAAACAGAGTGAATTAAGAGTTTTTTCTTAAAAATTAGTACATATCATTTTTCTAATTTGGAATGAGTCATCTTAATATAATAAAACAAATTATTTCATTTAGCAGCTTATAAAGCATGGAAATATGACTATAACTTCAGATTTGAAGGAAACTGCCAGAGAGAATTTCCAATGTTATTTATACTATTTATAACAGATTTTACAGTAAGACAAGAAGCTATAGCTGTACTTACAAAAGTCAAACAAATTTGGGATTAAAACAATGAGTTATGATTTTTTACTGATTTATTTTAACATACTTTGAACTCCTTATTTTTCAAATATTCCATGCAGACTATTCCCTCTGTTCTTTATGATAACCATAAATACTTTTAGTGACTATAAATGGTGTTAGGGAATATTGTTCTTTCAAAGACTATTCTACCTAATTATTATACAGAGCCCGCCTAATCATAACTTTAATGGCAGCTCAGCATTAAACCCCTCATGCACCAAGTCATCCTGATTACTAGTGGCCACACCCCTTATCCATGACATGAAAAGAAAATATAGCAGTATATTATATAAGCTAGAGCATTTTTTGAAAAAAATAAAAGCTTCCAATTTTGGTTTTGAAATCGTTTGACAAGAAGCCTCACATATAGTTTACCATTGGTTATTATTTCCTAGCGGTCGTTGTATACATACAGGAATCATGGGAAGTGAGAAATTATGACCTAAAAATTGTTCACAAATAAAATGAAAAAATTATGAATGTTAAATTGACCATGAAGTTGATATAACATGAAATTTTATACATATCTAATGAAACATATATTTATTCTGATCACACATTTCTCAAATTTGGGGATCAATACATTTCTTAAAGTATAGAGTCTCAAATATTTTGTGAACCTCAGTCACTGTACATAATACCTAATCAAACACCATTTACAGGCCACCAAGTATTTTGGGGCCATGCAGCTGGTCTCTGCAAAGGACATGCTTCCAGATGCTTCCAGATCATCAATCTCCTTTAAAACGTGGCCCACAGAGAAACAACGATTATCTCTCAAATTACAGACTGTGTTTTTAAATCACAGTAATTTTTATCAAGTCAAGAAGATATGCTTTTCCTTTCATTTAACTTCAATTAAGCATTTATTTATTATGTGCTTTTAAAAAATTCATTGATCATTTTCCATCCTGGATGAATGATACATCCCCTCAAGGCACACCAAACAGCTAATAAACTGATACAAACAAGTCTTCTTGATAGATATTAAATATGAAAACATCTTATGAATATTGCAGGCAGTCTTTGGGATTCAGAAATAATTGTCAGGCCAGTGAGTTAGAGTGAAATGAATACCGGATGTGTGGGTTCCAGAAGGAAATCCTTGCTTCCACCAATGAAAATGAGTTCCTGAAATAAGGTTTCAAGTGCTGCTCCACTAAAATAAGAGACATCTTAGTAATAATATTTTCCTTGATATTTCTATCTTACCTTTTAAATACAATTATATATTATATAAATTACATGTATATACAATGGATGAAAGTTTCAAATAGCTTATTTCACTCTTGACTTAAGGAGGAATCAAAGTCCACTGCATGTCATAATTTATTGAATGTTCAAATAATTTCTAATGAAATCTCAAAATCCCAGAGCTGGACAATAGAATTCCCTGTTAGGAATAGAGAGAGGGGAAAATCATCCTGAACTGGTGACAGTCTGAATGGTGAATGTTTTTGGCAATAGTAGTGCTACTTTCAATTAGCTGTAGTAGCATCAATGGCTACAAGAAAAGTAATAGTTTATATAGGCTACTATCATATTTTATTATTTTTAAACAGATGGGAGGCAAAACCACCAATAATTAGAGGGCAGAGCATGTGAGGGGTTTAAAACTGTGCTGGTATCAGCTGCCGCCACTGAGATCCTGCCCCAGCCGCTGTAGGAAATCGATGACTCACTGAGAGTTGGGTTCCTAACAGCCCTGCGCTTCCCTCAGCAGGCTCAAGGTCTACTCAGCATCTTGTTCAGATTAATTCTTCAGGAAACCCTCCACCCAGTCCCAACATGTTCCCCTTACAGGTCAAATTTCAATTAACTCTATGTTACTATGGATTTGGATTCGGAAAAATATGACAACAAATGGTATATTTAATATTTAACTGTTCCATTTTTCCAAAAGATGTCTTACAATTTAAACTTTTAAAAAGTGATACCATAGTTACGTATGTGGTGATAACATAAGAATCTGAAAAGAACTGCATTAGAAAGTGTGTCTCTTCTATCAGCTTTTTGTTAAGTTGAAGTATCTCTACCTGAAGAAAGATGTTTTTAAAAAAATTACTATTTTTCATTAACTTTCACAGAATTTAAAATGTTTTATTAATCTAAGATGACCTTCTATCAATGCGAGAATGCCAGGTAATAAAAACTACTTAAAATAAATAGGAAAACAAACTTATAAGACTTGACACGCAATGTCCTGTAGTTATATAGCAGCTCATTCTACTTCAATCATATCAGTAAATTCTACTATTTAAATCATTCAGTGAAAATTCAAAAACCAGAGGCACGAAAGCCACCTTCGCCAGTTCTGTGTGTCTCCCAACTTAGTCAGCCCCCATCAGCATAACAATGTCAAAGTATCAGTTTAATCAAAGTATATTTAAATATTTTCAAATTTTACCACTTTGCCTATCAAATGCACATTAACAAAAATTATACTTGATGAGTTAGGGATTTTATATTATGCTACTATTTGGCTCAGTAGTTACACTTTCAGAAATTTATTCAATACTATAATAATTATCAGAAAAGTAGAGAATACAACAGAAAGTTAGATACAGAATTATTGATAATCATAAGTATTAAAAAAAGACTAAGAGGCTTATAATGGGGATAAGCATTTTTAAGAAGCAGAGTAAAAGCTTAAAATGCTTATGAAACAGGGTTAAGAAAAACAGCAATACATAAGAATAAGCCAAATTGTTTCAACAACCTAAAATGCTTGTGAAAAGGAGAAAAATCATATATATTACAAAGTGAATGGTGTATTGTTGAAGGATAGGAGGACACAACTTTATTTACTTCTTTGTGTCTTTGGTATTTAAGTTACTTTTATCATCCATGCATTACTTGTATAATCAGAAAAAAACATCATTAAAGAGATGCAACATTTATCTTTTTTAAATTGTACCTAAATGTATTCCACTGTATGACACTTACATATATATCTCACAAGAGCTGGCACTGTGTGTTCTCAAACTATATACGAGCTCATTCTGCAACCTCCTCACGAGTAATGTCATTTGTTGAAATCATTTCCTTTTCTTAAAACTAAATATTAATGTCTACTCTTTTAAATAGTTATATTGCAAATTTTACTTACTTTACCACAATATTTCCTAAACGCCGAGCCTTCAGTTTTTGCATGTTGTCATCCAAAATCATAACTTCAAAGTAAAATAGAAATAAATAAATAAGTACTTTGAATAAAATTACATGACCTTAAAGTATAAATATTTCCACAATATTTCCACTCTAGCCTGAAAAAGCCATCTTTTAAGTTCTGTGAGACTTAAACATATATAAGTAAACTAAAATGTCTCACAAAAAATTTAAAGAGTACATGCTTTCAATTTCTAACAAGAACATAAATTTTCCTTAGAATCTCCCTTAAATAAAGATACTATATTTTGAACATGCTGGTGATTTCATAGTCTATATTCCTATCCATTTAAACGTATTCTTCCATTCCATCAAAACATTAAAAATATGTTGCTTTTCCAAAATTAAAGGAAACAAGTCAGGTTTTAAAATACACTAAAAATATTTTAAGCAATAAAAATAAAGTATTAAAAAGCCTGGAAACATCATTTTTTCTGATTTAAGGTTTCATTTGCACTTACAAGCCTCACAGGTCAACTTAACCTTCCCAAACATTATCCCAATGCTTTCTGTGTTACACTGTTAACATCCTGAAAGATATTATGAGGTCAAAGCCTTACACCCATATTCAGTAACCCTTAGTGGAAACAAAATGAGGATATATCATCATGTTTTAAGCTTTAATAGATTCTTTATGTGGCTCATCCATCCAGTTTATTCTGCTGAAAGAAGCTACGAGAAAAGAAAGACATTATCCCCAGAAAAAAAATGAATCACTGCCTTCTTTGTGTGCCTAGAGCACTTTGTTTTAAAATTCTATTCTGAGGATTATTAGCAGAGTAACTGTCTTTCTCTCACTAGATTGTGAATTCATTAAGGGTGGAGGCCATGCCTCATTCATGTTTGTTTCCCCAAATCTCAGTGCAGGGGCCGATATACTACGTGCCTCTGAGCACATTCTATTAGCCCCCTCAATTCCCTATCTAAAAAGTGAGCGTAATTCCTTTCGCATAGTGTTAGTATAAGAATTACCTGAAAAAAAAAAATAAAGTGACACACGTGCATAAAGTGTTCCATAAACGTGAAGCTGTGTTACATTGTATTGAATGTTTTTCAAACACAAAAAATGGCTTTCTTTCCTTTCTTAAAAGAGCACTACTGCTTTTTTTACTCTAGTATTGAATGTTACATTATGTGTTTGAATCTCTGAAAAGCCACAGGACACATAAAGATCATGAGTCATGAAGTCACTATTTCCTCGGCTATAAATACTTTAGTTCTAATGTTTAACCTGCGCTGTCTGTAAGCCAATGGCTTTCAGACAATGAGATACTTCTGTATTGAAATTCCAGAAGACATCAAAGCTTAATGCTTTCTGACCACCAGACACAAAAATGGCACTAAACTACCGAAAGGGAGACGTGGTCAACATCTCCTACAACCGTCAGCCCGTAAAAGCGACAGTTTTTAGGGGCAAAACAAAGGCAGTTTTTCTGGTAAAAGGAGTATGGGTGGCAGAACTGCTCAAAGGGAGGATTTTACTAAAACTGGATTCACCTTTCCAGGCCCGGAAATGTCACCGACTTCATGGAATATCTATTTCTGCCCTTAAAAAAAAAACCCTAAGTGTCTTTATAAATATATCTGCTGGGTTAAACCAAATGAACCACATTTTCTTAACTAGTCATTGTGCTAGGAGAAAAATACAATGTTCCTATGTTAGAGAAGCAAAAGACGAAGCTCTAAATTTTGTAATTTACATGCAAATAGGAACTATATGTAGAAATATTTTTCTGCCTCACAAAGCTGGGTTTTCCCCATAAACATATTGTTTAATCGTGTGACCTTATACAAATAGTACAACTTCTGTGTCTCACTTTCCTTGTCCATAAAATTAAAGTGTGAGTCTAAATCAAGTCAGTCCAACTGGCCTCTCTGGAGTATCAGTCACATTGCTAGCTTAGACTTAGTCCAGACGTCCTACTGGTTGTCACGTGTGTTCATGCTTCATTGTGCTACATCACAATACGGCAGCCCTAGGAAGCACGTGGCGTAAGGAATTTGAAGGCTTGAAAAGGTGGATGACTTCTATAATTAAATGCAACTAGGAAATGCATGCAGTCCAAGGGTAACTACTGAACTTCTATAATCACTATCAACAATTTAACAACAAACACTGAAGGGTATTTTATCTCTGTCATATATTGCCAACATGGATGAAATAATTTTTGTTTTTAGAACCCTCACTCTTTAAGTTTATTTTTACCCAAAAGCTTCAAAAGCCTTATCATCATTCTTAAATTAAAAGGCAGGATAATGAAAAAAAAAAGGGAAAAACTGCAGCTTTTGTAACAAAAACAAGCAAACAAAACAAGTAAAACACATGATTTGTATTATCTTCAGGACCTGAGTTACCTTAGGGTAGTCATTTTGTCTGTCTGGGCACCAGTTAGTTTATCTCTAAAATGATAATAATATCTCTGAATTAAAAATACCGGCAATTCAGCATGAAGTGAAATAATATACCCAAATTACTTGGTTCCTAACAGGTTTCTTACATACTAATTTCACACCCATATTTTAATTTAAATTTTATTTTTTCAATTCCTGTTTACATTTGATATTATTTTTGTTAGTTTCAGGTGTACAGCATAGTGGTTAGACAGTCATTTACTTTACAAAGTGTTCCCCTGATATTTCTGGCACCACACACAGTCACGACAACATTATTGACTACATTCCCTGAGCTGTACTTTATATCCTGTGACTATTCTGTAATGGCCAATTTGTGCTCCTCAATCCCTTCACCTTTTCCACCCAGTTCCCCCGCCCTCCCCTGCTTGGCAACCATCATAACCATCTTGGTTATGATGTCCTAACCAAGAACATATCCTTGGAAGTTTACGATCTTACTTTTGACCAAATTGGCTAATAATAACTAAGGCATTTCTTATTAATACAGGTGTTCCTTTGATCAAATACTTACTAAGCACCTAGCATGTTTCATGTGATGTGATTTACACATACACATACACTAAAATACCAAATTTATCAGTCTCAGATATTTTAAAAATTCAGGGTCATTTCTCACCATTGTATCCTGGAACACATTTTCCTGCTTGTCCCGGAGGGGGTGTTTTAGAATTACCTAATCCAATACATGACGCTGTGATTGGGGATCCAGTCTCTGGAAAAAGAAATGTTATTTATCATTCAATGTTTCAACCTGAGCTCAGGACTTCTTCACTGAGTACACTGCCCCTCTCCACCAGGTTTGTCATAGAATTAAAATGCACGAGGAATAGATAAATAGTGCAAATGCATCGTTTAAAAATTTAAAAACCCAGTGATTTATGTCATATCAACATTTTAAAACTGAAGGACACACAGTTAGAATACTATATATAGCAGTGATTCTCTTAAAGAAAAAAGAGTCTTCCCTGGCGTTCTCGGTTGTGGATCGCTGGTGTGAAGGATGGAGAATTGTGAGACCAGAAGAGGTTTACACACACAGGTTCAAACCACACAGATCTCTAGAAAAGTCTCTCTTAACTCACCTAATGTTATTTTACCATGGTAACTAATGGCTTTGTGTGGAGTATTTATAGCTTAGCCTCTGGAATAAGTAACATAACAAGTTTAAAAACAATGATCATATTCTAATATTTTTAAGAACAATACCAGCCTAGAGACCCTGGCATCTGAAGCTGAATTTACCAATGTTTTATCAAGTTGCTCTCCATCTCTATTTCCTGGACTTCCAGAAGTCCCAAAACATAGGAGAAAATATATTTATACTATGCTGATTATTTCAGCTAGACCAGAGACTTACCCACAATTAGCCAGCACTGATTAACAGAAATGTTAATTTTCCTTTTCTCTATCTCCAGTCTTAGCAATCAGAAAAATAGCAGTTATTACATAATAGCCATAGTTCTATAAGTGAATATTTTTATGGAAGAATGCATTTGTTATTATTAATAAATATAAGTGTAAACTTAACAAAATCTTTTAGGTATGAGATTCATAACTGTGGAGAGCAGGATAAAAGAGTGTTGATAGTGAAAAGTTTCAAAACTGTTGGCTTAGTATTGTACACACACGTACACCCAAGGGATTCCTTGCCCAAACGATCAGATCCAAAGTAATCCAAACTTATAAAAACATCTATCTTCCTAAGAACTCAAAATGTATTCCTTCTCCTATGGTCTCTACCATAATTTATCACACAGTTATATCACTTTAGAAGGATGGGAAGAATTTATTACTGTTCTTTACTTTCCAGCATCATTTAATTTATTATTCACATTTTATGGATGGTGGCTCAGCTGGCATCAATAACAGAAGATGGACTCCTGAAAATTAAAACACAGTCCCTAACTCACAGCCCAGCGCTTAAGGTGCTAGGCCATGTGATCACTGCCAAGGAGAAGCACTGAGTACCCACAGCAGACATCGTTGATGTTTAACAACAAATTCACAAATATTTTCAGAGCAAGAAGAAAAATGGGAATGTATTTTGTGAAATGGCACTTCATCGGCTGTGACATACCCTGGCCTTTCTCCCTCCAGCACAGCCAAAGCGTGCGAGGAAATGCACGTGTTTAGAAGGGTGAACAGCACTTTCCCCTTTGCCTTTTACAACTGCCTGAGCGCTCATTTCAGCTATCCTCCAAAAACTGTGGTGAGACAGGAAGCAACGCTGCAGCGTGAGGTCTCTAAGGGAAGGTCCGCAGACAGAGCAAGGTGACAACAGGAACAGAAGCTAGGCGAGGTCACCTTAGGAGAGGAGCTTTCCCCTTCAAGATACTTCTATCCCCCCTCCCACCCTGGTGGGAAGCAGCTGCTAAAGTAAAGCTGCTATTATAAAAGTAAATCTTATCAAGTTTAGTTTATCAGTAGGGGTACTCCAATCATCTCAAGTTCACATTCACTACATTTCTTTAAAAAAGTTTACTGATTTTAGAGAGAGAGGAAAAAAAATATCAATATGAGAGATCAACATCAACTGGCCACCCGCCACAGGCACACAAACTGGGGATCAAACCCACAACCCAGGCACGTGCCCCAACCAGGAATCGAAACCTCAGCCCGGAGCCTCAGTTACAGGGTGACACTCCGACCAACTGAGCCACACTGGCCAGGCTCGAACTCACTACACTCCCTAACAACAAGAGGCTTCTTGGCAATCCGTCACCTTAGACTCCAGACCCTACAGATATAACTTCCAATGGCTCTGGTACCGCCTGCTTTAAAGAAAAACAAAGAACCCAAACAACAAAAGTCTAACTGCTCCCTGCTTCAGCTCGTCTTACCGTGTATTCTCATGAAAGATGGCAGCACTCGGCTGCTCCTGTAAGACTGGGAGGAAGGGCGCAGGGGACGTAGAAGTGGGGACAAAACCTCGTCTTAAACAAAGACAAGAGAGGGTTAGTGAAGCACTGTCAGTATTGACTGCCTAAGTCAGCTGACATCACACATACTTCCTGCAAATCTTAAGCTTATTTGTATAATGCTTACATATTTATAATCTTTTAGCCTTCAGCTGTGTTGTCATAGTTTATGATTGTAAAGGAACTATGAAAAGCACATCTTTATGTGATTATTTTGACTGAATTTTATCGACAGTGAAAAGCATTATCCAGTCAGTTAATGTATATAATACTAGTTTATGCTCCAAAGATTAACAATTTGAATATCTCATTGGCCTTACTTTGATATTCATTTAAGGGATTAGAAAAAAACTTTTAGTCACATGCAAAGGATACTATAAAAAAATGGCATTCCTAAGACTCCAAACACAATGAAGAGCCACTCTTAGGGAAAAAGTCACACTAGAAAGACCATAATGGTTGTTATAGAAACTTTGGTTTTCTGTCTTTATACCTTTGAATGTCCTGAGGCCCCAAAACTGAGCTACCCCTAATGCAAGCACACACCTGTGGGCTCAGACATTCATAATGTGGACTTCATGGCCACCCTGGCTCTGTGGCTGGTCCATATGTCCATCTCCAAAATACATAAAAAACTCACATGACTCCAGACCAGGAAGACAAACAATCCAATTAAAAAATGGGCAAAGGACTTAAACACACACTTCTCCAAGGACAGAGGCCCAGAGACACATGAAAGAATCCTCAACATCACTAGCCAACAGAGAGATGCAAATAAAACCACAATGAGATACCACTTCATACCAGCAGAATGTCCATCATAAACTAATCAACAAAATACAAGTGCTGGTGAGGTTGTGGAGAAAAGGGAACCCTAGTGCACTGTTGGTGGGAATGCAGACTGGTGCAGCCACTGTGGAAAACAGTATGAAATTTTCCCAGAAAAGTAAAAATGGATGTGCCTTTTGACCCAGCAATTTCACTGCTGGGATTATACCCTAAGAATCCTGAAACACCAATCCAAAAGAATCTATGCACCCCAATGTTCATAGCAGCACAATTTACAATAGCCAAGTGCTGGAAGCAACCTAAGTGCCCACCAGCAAATGAGTGGATCAAAAAACTGTGGTACATTTACACAATGGAATACTATGCAGCAGAAAGAAAGATGGAGTTCCTACCCTTTGCAATAGTATGGACGGAAGTGGAGAGCATTAGGCTAAGTGAAGTGAGCCAGACGGTGAGGGACAAATTCCATATGATTTCACCTATAAGTGGAACCTAATCAACAAAACAAATAGGGAAGGGTTAATAGGAACATGTGTAAAGGACACATGGACAAAACCAAAGTGCGGTGGGATCGAGGGTGGGAGGTGGAGATGGCTGGGGTGGATGGAGTGGTGGAAGGAAAATGGAGACAATTGTACTTGAACAACAATAAAAAAGAAAAAGCAAAAGCACTCAGGCATGCTGCAGCCCTTAACTAAACTCTGAAGGCCTCCAAATGCCCCATTTTAAAGATGTTCTAAAAACCTCTGCTTCACACTGTCGGCTACAATTAACAGCTTCGCATTTATCCAGGGAGACAGAAATCCAGATGTGACATTGTGCCTGGGAAATAGCTACATTAAACAAAAGAGGACATCCTCTCTGAAGAAGAGAACAGAGTACTACACTTGGAGAAATCTTTCCAAAGATACGTCACCTTAGAAACACACAATGCTTAGCAATGTACCAGCACAAGTTCTTTAGATAAGAGATAACCAGGAAGAAAGTGGCAGGGAATTGAAGAACATGACAGATAAAGTACCTTGGTACATTTCTATTCATGCTGTAGTAGCAGCTAACACAGACACTACACTCTTTTGCATGTGTCTTTGCTGCCTCACTCTATCTTATTGCTTTACTGAGATGTTACCTATATAAATTTTCCTTAACAAAGGAAAGGGAACTAATATATATGCTATCTTTCAAATATGAATTATGTAATATAAAGTGCATATATATATATATATATATATATATAGAGAGAGAGAGAGAGAGAGAGAGAGAGAGAGAAAGCTAACCTAGAAAATTTAAACCATTTGCCCTGAGAAAAGCATGGGACAGACAAGTGTATCTCATGAGGTTCTCGTGTAGAAGAAAGAGAATTAGAAGAGAACAAAAATCACCCAGACTGTGCCTCAGAGGAAGAAAAATAGTTGTGACAGAAAGTGAGCTTACTCTCTCATGTTTGCAAATAAAAGTAATGGTGGTACATACCATTTGTTAGCAAATACTTATTGAGCAACTACTATATGTTAGGTGCTATCATTAGAACTGTGGATACAGCACTAAACAAAAATGACCAAATTGACTATTTCAGGGGGTCCACATTCCAGTTGGAGAGAGAAGCAATAAGAACTAAACTAAAGCAAAACATATGGCCTGCGAAAGAGTGAGAAGCATTAAGAAGGTAAAGAAGGCATAAACGGGGTATGGGATATAATGAGAGGAACGGCAGTTTTAGAGGCAGCAGTCAGGAAAGACTTCCTTGGGGAGGTGACATCTGAGCAAAGACCTGAAGAACAATGCAGACGTGCCATGTACATATCTAGAGTCAAAGAATCCAAGAGGAAGGAACAAGTGCAAAGGTCCTGAGGCAGGTTTATTCCTACAGGGTTTGAAGAACAGTAGGGTAGCCTGTGTGACTGAGGCAGAATGAATGAGAAAAGCATTAACAGGAAATAAGCTCAGAGAGGTAATGAGGAGACAGAGCATGAAAAACTATTTCAAAGCCCTTGTAAGACTTTCA